TCGTTGCAAAGCTGAAGTATGAGGAAGCAGTATCTATGTCTATTTTGTCGGATTCAATCGAGCTTACATTGGTGCAAGAGAATGGTGACGATGAGGTTATTGAAATAAACTTTTTTGTCATTCATCCTTCTCGGTCGCGTTTGCAGTTATTGTGTTTGTTAATGCTTGTTAATTTTTTTTTTAAATTCCTTTTCTTGTTTTAAATACCAGGGCACTTCTTACCTCATCTCCGGACGTGTCGGCGAGGTGAAGACATCCTGGTGTGCTGAATGTAGAGTTCATTTGATCCACCTAACTATCGAGGATGATTATTTGGATCTTGAGGTTGTTTTCCCATCGACAAACTTGCGCAAAATCGTTTCAGATGTAGTAAGTGATAAAGATATGGCCAATGCCGATTTCGTTACCCTTATCAACTTGCTTGGTGGAAACTCTTATGAGTTTATGGTCGCACTGGGTCCTTGGAACAATGTGTCGAGTTATTTTGAGCTGTTATTGGTAAAATTATTTTTTCCTCCCGGAAACTGAATACCATTTCAGCAATGTAAATAGAATCTACTAAAGTTGCTTAGTGTTCGCCTTAATATTATTTCTCTTGTTATGAAAGTGTACTAAGTGTGTGAACACAATGCTTTTTTGTACGGGTTCTGCCCTTCAAGATATCGAAGTCTTCTTCCATCATAACAACATCTAAATCAGAGAATGCACGAGAGGGGCCTCAGTTAAGCAACACCCAAACATATCCCTACTGTAGCAAGATAATGTGTACAAATTATATACAAGCTTTAATGGAAGGTTTGCGAATTCAAAGTACAAAAGAGAATTTGAAGACCTACAAACGATGCTCGGCAAACGCCTAACAACACCGAGTCTCTGAATTTATCATCAATCAATCGGCATATCTAATTAAGAACCTGAAAATTATATGCAAGTTCAGCTAAGAGAAGCAAGCAAGACAAACAAAGAGGAGGCTCCACTGAAGGAAATTTCCCAAGCGAGAAGACCCAACATCACCTATTGGGCCTGGTACAAAAGGCCTGCTTAGTTTAGTTTTATGTTTTAATTTTACAAGAACTCATTTTATAGCTATAAATATAACAGTGGAAGTATATTGAATCAAAATCCTTGTTCAGCATGAATGGTGAAGAATGCCCATGGTAATGACCAGGACGCTGGTTCGACCCTCATACCATTACAAATTCTTTTTTGTTTTCAGCTACACCTATAGAACGGGGCCGTTCTCCAGGCCACTTTCGATTCAGAGACGAGCACAAAACGATACCGTTTTTTCATGTATCGTCGTCTTCCCTAGCCCCCGCAAACTCCCAATTATCCAGTTGCCTCCGTCACCACCGTAATCCGACGGCCGTCTCTCTTCATCGTCCAAACTTTCTCACTCCGTTACGATTCTGGACTCCGACCAAGAGAATTCCCTTGACGAGACCTAATCCCCTCTCTCCATTTCAGCCTTAGTGATTGTTTACAGGACGTAAAGGTCATAGTCGTTCACCGTCAATTGACGGCAGCGTACCTACCCACCGCTATCGGCGATCCGCACTACGGCCCACCTCTCGAGTCTGCACTCTTCACTTCTCCGATCCTTCCTCATCCGCCTCTCGAGCACAAGATTCAATCCATCATGCCTCGAACAGATCACTCTCTTAATCCATAGAGGGATTAAACATCGATGGGAAGCGCAAAATCCAATTGATAGCCAGGATGAGAGGAGAGGGTTCGTCAGCCACTACAGACAGCAATTGGAAAGGGGGTTTGAGCGTTGACATGAGTGGGAAAAGGAATAAATCACCAAACTAAAATTGTAAGTAAATATAACTTAATGGATTGGAGACATGATTAGAATAAAATTTGGTACTATAATTCGAAAATATGTTGAAAAGTTTGTTTAGGGGTTAAAGGGTACGCATAAAAAAGTAATAGGACCAACTAATCATTTAAAAATTGTAAAAATTAAATAATTTAATTCCAATTAATAAACACCGCTAGATTAAATCTACGGTGTAGAAATCCTGTCGCATAGTATGTGTCTGACGCATACGAGTGTGACCCATATATATATATATATATATATATATATATATATATATATATATATATATATATATATAGGTCAGACTGGTGTACGTCAGGCGTATACTATACGTCAGATACTACTAGTGAGATATCTCTATCTACACCATGAATTAAATCGAGATTGGGGTATGATACTATACCCTAACCTCTAATGGATAAACCCCAGGCTTCGATTTTCGAAATCCCAACCCGAAGTTTGATTTAATGAAAAACAAAACTTGACCGTTGAGATCGGCCGGAGCTCATCTAAGTTCATCTAACTGCTAGATCACCTGACGTATAGTATATGCCTAACGTACACCAGTCATCACCATATATATATATATATATATATTAATTATTATTAATTAGTTACGAGTAAAATCAATAATTATAATTACAATCACACCCATTAATTGTCTTTCAATACTATTTAGTCCCATTCATCAAACAATTTAAAGAACAACCTAATTGTATTTGCAATCATCCCAACCCAATATCACAAAGCAATTAAAACAAAAACAACACAACCTTCCATCTTGCCAGTTTTCAGTTCGGAACCTCCCTACAGATTTAGATGACAAGAAATAGCTTGAAGAGCAAACAAACCCACAAACTTAAAAACTGAAATTAATTCAACTAGCGGAGAAATTGGTGCCACAGCGTCAGTGCCAGGAGAAGCATGATAACCGTCCTCTTCGCTCAGGCAATGAAAGAAGATCTTGCGGGACGGTGACGAAGTCAAAATCGAAGATGGCGTAGCGACATTCGTAGTCCGGAAGCGAATCTGCGAGGTCGTAGTAGCTCTCGCCGGCGCCGCCAACCTTGTCGACGGCGACAAGCCCTGTCTTCTCGTCGATCTTGAAGACGATGTAGCGGTGCACTCGTCGCCACATCCCACTCGCTGCCATATATACTTAATGCCAGCGCCATTGTTGATCGAGAAAGAGGTTTTCGAGAGACCTAGTCCCAGGGCTAAAGATCCCAATCGCGCATCCCGTAGGCCTCCACCATCTCCGCCATCGATTGCCTGAAATCTCCGCCATCGATCTCGACAGTCCAGCGTCACTGCCTGTCAAACATGCTTCTGATCCGGTTCTGGTCATCATTTTTCATTTACTTTTGGTCCGGTCCTATCTCAATTCGATCCGGTTCTAGACCGAGTCGACCGATGCGCACCCCTAGATGTATGTTACTAGATGGTTGCTACCGCGCTTTGCGGCGGGCCTAGATAATTATTGAAGCCCACTTTTAATTCTTTTGATGGTTTTGCCCGTCATGATTTAATTTTGAAAGAAAATTTTGAGTATTTTGATCAATGTTTTATGATCTTGTTTTTCTTTTATAGAATCCTATTTTATGATCTTCTTGTGTTCCTAGCTAGCCGACGATCAGAGTAATCAGAGGTCGAAATGGTTGGTCTGTTGGGCTCTCCGATTCCTCCAAATCCTGTGGTGGAAACAGGAGCACGTATGTCCTCATCAAATAAGCCAACCATCCTTAGAATCTTAATTAGCAGAAAGTACACTATAATAGTGCTTTAACTAATTAACCCGATGGCAAGGGCATTCTGCATAGCTACTACGAAAGAAAGAGAAAATATTCAATGGAAATTGTTAAGGCTATATTTTCTCTCCTCCTCTTGGTTCTTGTTTATGCTTTTGCATCTCTGAAGCCTTTGGATGCATCTTTACATGAGAACAACAATCGACCGATGATCACCACCATCAGGAAGCTGATGCCTTATTATAATAATACAGGCAAGTTCCAGTCAAGAAACTCATTTCTCTTTGGATTATTTGGACGAAATTGTTTATATGATGGTCGATCAATATCATAGTCTTGAACATACTGCTTGTGATTTTGAATCACCATAACACTGATATTAAAAGTTGATCTAAAGAAAGAAAATATACAACTGATTTGTACAACTTGAAGCCCTGTGTGGGGTTTTGATAATTTAGGTAGGATGCGATTCAAAGAATGGTAAAACATTTCATTCTTGTACTACTTATAGCACTCGCATAAACTCGAGTTATAGTGATAATTTCAGACAAATTAGTTGGTGATCACTTTTAGGCTTTAGCATGTTAGTTTATAACTGGTTCATTTCGATTGAATGCAGTTTTCCACAAGAAAAATAAACAGATGAGCATCACGGCCACCTCCACCTCCAGAAAGTTGCTTATGCTATGGGGCAAGTTTCTCTTCTTAACTCTCTCCCTCTCTTTCTCGAGGAAAAATAAAATTTCCCCACTAACAGATTAAAAGGATTTTGGTTACCATTTTGTTGTTCTTATTGGTGCTTCCTTTAGGTAATAAAAGGCTTTTCCATTTGATGTATAGCATAACCATTAACCCACCCGTGGCCGTGGAAGATAAAAAATTACCTGTTATATTTTCATCATTTAATTGGTATCAAATTACCTGTTTCTCAATAAAAAAGAATCTGTCATTTGGTTCCAATGAGAAGCCCATAGGCCATATGAGTGCTCTCACATAGTAATTGCAAATGCTCATTTTCCCTTATTACTTTTCCATCATAAGTCATAACCCTACCTTTTTTACAAACCCGACAATACTATTTTATTTTGTCTTCATAAAGTCAATACTTTAAAAAATATTAAAATTACAATTGTGCATTGATCAGATGTTTATATTGGTCGGTGCTTATGAGAATGTGAAGATTCATGGACTTTCTTGGAGCCAAACATTCTTTCTAATCATATCAAAATCTACTAGGTCTGATTGACTTGCAATTATCAGGAATACAGTAACTAATACTATTTAAATCTTTCTCGATTATTTTTTGGGTCAATTTCTTTTACTGAACTTCATCGGGAACAAAATGCGGCCAACAGGGAAGGACTGCGGGAAAGACAATTGTTGTCAACATCATGGTTTCCTCTGGTCATGTAATTGTTGTTGCTCCGACTACCGTTGTTATTATGAGCCTGATAACAATGGCTCATCGCCGATTAATGGAACCACCGACGGGCCACTCAATGGTCAGTGTTCTATATAAGTGCCTTTGTTTTAAGGTTAATTTATCTAGTTAGTAATATATATTTTTAAATTTTATGTTCATGTGACAGGAAAGAAATCAGATGAGCTGGAGAAGCATACATCCACTGAGAAACCAAAAGACTAGATAAAGTAAAAGTAAAAATCATGTATGTCGACTTTGAATATTGAGGATAGTTAGCAATAATCATTAATAATTGGGTTAATATATTTGTATGGACTGAAATTTTCACATAATAAACATCCTGTCCAATCTTTTCGATCTATAATATTATGGCCTGAACTATATACCAAAGTAACGAAATTGACCAAACTCGAAAATTAATCGTTATCTTGGACGGTCAATCGCGTTGACTAAAGATCAACGTGACATGTCACCGCCAAATCAACACTTTTCACTTCAATTTTTTTTTATATTTTCCACCAATTTTTTTTCCATTTTGAATTAAATAAATTAAAAGTTGCCAATTTTGTTTTTAAAATTTTATTTAATTATTTTTTCATACATGTGGAATCCATGTCATCAATATTGGGTGACTGGACAATGACGTTGCGCATTGACCGTTAGTCAATACGTTTGACCGTCTAAGATAACGGTCAATTTTCTGGTTTGGCCAATTTCGTGACTTCGGTGTATAGTTCAGGCCTAATATTATAAATAAATAAAAATTGGTCAGAATGTTTATTATCTAAAAAGTTCAGACCACACAAATATATTAACTCTTAATAATTATATATAGGATCCATCATAAAGTAAGCAACTTACATATGCTACTTGTCAAAGTGCCAATGTCTTTTGTTCGTTGTTCAGTGCTCTATAAGGTAATTTGGATGGCACCAAGTTCACTTTTATACCAGTATATATGCTAATTTAAGTGCAACATGTACCACTTAACTAGTATTTCTATTACTTTGTTCATTTTTCTATCCAAAACCTTAACGGTAAGGATAAAAAATATTTATCTTGTCAAGCCCGCATGCCTAGTCAGTTGGCTAGCGCTATATCAACCAAGCAAAAATACAAACAAGGGCTTGGTTTTGTGGTAATACCACTAACTTAAAACTTGGAAGTTCCAAGTTTGAAACTCTTAATTAGTACCTTAATGACAACAAAATGAAATTAAATCACCCTTATTAAAAAAAACCAAGCAAAAATGAACCAGCCCACTCCCACTCAACTTTGTGTGAAGATCAAGTTCACAACCCAAATTATGCACCATGCATAATTATAAGTGTCAGCCTATTTTAGAGTATCATAGAATATCTCTAAAATTTTGAGAATTAATTATAAACTCTCAAATAGGGGTATATGATTTTGAATATTAAGACGTTCACACGAGAAGTTTATTGACAATAAATAAAAACTTAGTATAATATAATACATTCAAAGAGACCTTAAGTGTACAAAAAAAAAATTTATTAGGTGGTTATTCCTTTTTCAATAGATGAACTATTTAGGGTCTTTTGGTACCCGACCCAACCCGTCAATTAGAAAAGCTATTAAAACTTGCACCCGATCAAAAACTCGTCAGCACCAAATTTCACTCACTCACGAACCAAAATTCGTCAACACCGAATTCAACTCGCTTTAAGCTTTGTTTTTAGGTTTCACTCACTGACCTAGTGACTTTTTATTTTCTTAGTGATGTGACACATCAAAGACTTGGGTCATGTATTTGGAACCTAAATCTAACACTATTGGGAATTTCCCAAATACAATGTTTGGAAGCATAAAATGTAGGTATCAAATTTGTGAGGTCCACAAATTTGAAATATTTTTGTATCAAGTGTGTAAACTCCACGGATTTAAAATTCTCACATAATTTAGTGAGATTTGAGATAATGAACCAATTTTTTTATGCTAATAAACCAATCACTCATAAAATTGAATATTCAAACAATAATTTCCTCAAACCCCAAATGAACTAAATCCGTCACAAATTCATAATTTTCCAAATGTTTAGATTTATACAAACCTTCATTTTTCAAATATTTGGTCCAAAAGATCCCTTAGATACTCTATATTTTTTTTGGTAGAAAATACTCTATTAATCATGCATGTAAATTAATTATTTAAAATTTGAAAGAAAGGGAAAATAAAGGCGGGAAAGTAACTAGTCTTGGTATCCGTATTGCTTTCTCTAGCGCGGGTCCACCCTCCTGCCCTGTCTTGTCATCTCAACCAATTCCCTCGCTTTTCCTCCCAAATTGCCAAATCCAAACCGCGTCTCCACAAGTTTCTGGTTCAGCATTTGAGCATTTCTTAGTTTAATCTTCTCTTTGAACACTCACTAATCTTGCTTAAGACTTTACGGTGGGCCTTAACCAGAATTTAAAACACTTGTCATCTGACTTGAGCTGATATTCATAGCGCACCAATTTGATCAATCATTACCGGAATTGCTTCTACAGGAACTGATTTCAAATTAAAGCGTACAACCCAACTGGCCAAATAAACAAGCACCCACCCAAACAAACCCACATCTCTCATTCTTCTCATCTACCTCCTAAAACAGAGGAACAAGAATGGAGAATGAAGAACTGTCGGTTCTGCAAGAACAAGAAGAAGAAGCAGCCGCCGCCGGAGCCGGGGAAAGCAGTGTAACGCACGGAGGGAGGTACGTGGTGTTGGACTATATTGTAAACTAGAATTAGTTTAAGGACCATATTGTAATGTTTGTTTATATTTATGTATTATTTTGTTATTTCTTTATTTACAGCTGGTATATATTGTATAAACGAACAGTGTAAAATTAACTTTGATGAAATAAAACAAGTAGACCCGTTTCTCCCAACATGGTATCAGAGCAAATCAGTTTCTAGACTTTTCTTGGCGTTTCGCTTTCTTGCTTTCTTCCGCTTCTTTCTACGCTGCAATGGCGAACTCTTCCTCCACCTCGTTTCAACCGCCGCTGCCGATCTCGGCGACGCTCGCACCAAATCACCCTTACTTCATCAGTTCCGGCGACTCTTCGACGGCGCAGCTCGTCTCCGTCGTCCTCACCGGGCCAAATTACCATTCTTGGGCCAGATCGATGCGATTTGGTCTCCTGTCGAAGAACAAGATTTCCTTCGTCGATCCTTCCGTCCCGACGCCTCCTGCTGGCGATCCTCTCTTCCAAGCCTGGCAGATGTGTGACACGCTCGTTCTCGGGTGGATTCTCCGGTCGCTCTCGCCGGAGATTGCACAGAGCGTTCTCTGGCTCAACACTGCGGTCGAGGTTTGGCGTGATCTCCAGGAGCGCTTTAGCATCGCTGATCTTCAGGATGAGATCTACGGGCTGAAGCAAGGAAATCTGTCTGTAAGTGCGTTCTTCACCAAGTTTAGGGTTCTTTGGGACGAGTTGATGACCTACCGTCCTGTGCGATCTTGTGCATGTGTTCCTCGTTGTTCTTGTGTTGAGTACATGAGAGTAGATCAAGTGATTAGGTTTTTGAGAGGTTTGACTGAGGATTTTGAGTCTGTTAGGTGTTCGATTCTGTTGATGGATCCTCTCCCTCCCATTAACAAGGTCTTCTCTATGATAGCCCAACATGAGCGTCAGATTAAGATTCCAAACCCTAATTCTGTCAATCCTATGGCCTGTGCTGTACAGTCTGGTCCTCATAGAGGCAACAACCAGTCTAAAAGGCCTGTCTGCACGTTTTGTGGTTTAACTGGTCACACTATTGATCGCTGTTACAAGAAACATGGTTATCCACCAGGATATAAGCCACGTTCTAGGGTCAATGCTGTGATTAGTGAGTCTGTTGATACTAACAGTGGTTCTAGTGAGAACGGAAGTGCTCCTTCCGATTCTATTGTGTTGACACAGGCTCAGTATAGAGCTTTGTTTGCTCAGAGTCAGTCTCAGGCTCTGCCATCTTCAGCTCCTACTGTGAATTCCATCACTGCTGGAGTTTGTGTCGAGCAGTCTTTCCTGGCTTCTTCATCAGCTGCTTCTTCAAGCCAGGATGGAGGTAAGTTTGCTCTTCTTGCCAACTCTATGGTTGCCAATCCTTCTAGGTGGATCTTGGATAGTGGAGCTTCTGATCATGTGGTGTCTGATATTGCTTGTTTGCAATCACCTACTGCTGTGTGTGATGTTTTTGTGTCTTTACCAAATGGTTCTAAAGTGCCAGTTACACACGTAGGGTCAGTTAGGTTGAATGATCACTTAATTCTCAAGAAAGTTCTATTAATTCCACAATTTGGTTTTAATTTGATCTCTGTAAGCAAATTAAGTAAGGATTCGTCCTGTTCTGTGACATTTTTTGATGATCATTGCCTGCTACAGGATCTGGCCTCCCGGAAGATGATTGGTATAGCTAGAGAGAGCAGTGGACTTTACTGTTTTTCAGCAAAAGTACACAACTCAGCTCCTCTGCCTCTACCAATATCTTCATCAAGTCCAGATTCTTCTGCTTTTTCAGTATTGTTTGATAAGACTGTTCACGATTTTGATCTTTGGCATTTTCGCCTAGGTCATGTATCTTTCTCTCGTTTACAAACTTTATCTTCTAGAATAAGTGGGATTGATTCAAAATGTACAAAACATTGTTCTGTTTGTCCACTGGCGAAACAGAAACGTCTTCCCTTTATGGTAAGTGAGTCCCAAGCTGAGCATTTGTTTGATTTAGTGCATACTGATATTTGGGGTCCTTATAGTGTTCCTACTATTGATGGTCATCGTTATTTCTTAACTATCGTAGATGACTATTCTCGTAACACATGGGTTTACCTTATGCATAAGAAGTCTGAAGCTAGACCTTTAATTCAGAATTTTGTTGCTCATATTCAAAATCAGTATAATATGAGAGTCAAAGTGCTCAGGTCAGATAATGGTCAAGAGTTTCAGATGCGTGCATTCTTTGATTCTTTAGGAATTGTTCATCAGACTACTTGTGTCGAGTCTTCACAGCAAAATGGTCGGGTAGAGCGCAAGCAGCAGCATATCATTGCTGTTGCTCGTGCCCTCATGTTTCAGTCCTCCCTTCATTCTCAGTTTTGGGGTCATGCTGTCTTACATGCAACTTTTTTGATTAATCGTATCCCTAGTCCAGTCTTAGGTAATAAATCTCCTTATGAACTGCTTCACAATTCTGTACCTGACTATAGTAGTTTCCGTGTGTTTGGTTGCTTGGTTTATGCATCTACATTGTCTCATAATCGACCTAAGTTTGAACCAAGGGCAGATCCTTGTGTTTTCTTAGGATTTCCTTTTGCCACAAAAGGTTACAAGCTTTATAACCTTGCTACCAATTCTGTGTTTGAATCTCGGGATGTAGTTTTCCATGAGTCTATTTTCCCTTTCTTTTCTAAGAGTCATCAACTGGATTCGGTTGAATTTGCTTTTCCTGTCATTCAAATTCATCCATCTGCTGCAGTTACACCTCATGGTGCCAACACAGTGGATGGTTTAGTCCATTTATCCAATCCCGACCAACATTTCAGAGTTCCAACTCCTGCTGTTTCTGATGAGGATGATGGAGCCCCACCTCCTGAGTATCCTCCTGTTTTTGAAAATGAACCAGCAGGTCGTCCAGTTAGGAATAGACACAGACCTGCCCGTTTGCAGGACTATGTCTGTAATTCTGCTGTTCATTCTTCTATTCCATATCCGTTATCTTCAGTTATTTCTGATACTAATCTGGCTAATGGACATTCTAGTTTTGTTAATGCAGTAAGTTCCATTTCAGAACCTACTAGTTATCATGAGGCAGCCAAGGATGAACGCTGGAATGCTGCTGTTAATACAGAGTTGGATGCACTCATCCGAACCAATACATGGACAATTGTCTTACGGCCTCCAGGTATCAAACCCATTGGGAACAAATGGGTTTTCAAGGTAAAATTCCACCCGGATGGAACTATTGAGCGGTTTAAAGCTCGATTAGTTGCTAAAGGGTATACGCAAACTGAAGGAATAGACTATTTAGATACTTTTTCACCTGTTGCCAAGTTAACAACTGTTAGGGCTTTGCTTGCTTTAGCTTCCATTAAAGGGTGGCATTTGCATCAATTAGATGTTAATAATGCTTTTTTGCATGGTGAATTAGATGAGGATGTGTATATGAAAGTTCCTCTAGGTTTAAAACTTCCTCCTAATTCTGGTGATGTTGTATGCAAACTGAACAAATCTCTTTATGGCCTAAAACAAGCTAGTAGGCAGTGGAATCATAAGTTAACTGAGTTCCTTTTGAATGCTGGTTACCAACAATCAAAGGCTGATTACTCTCTGTTTACTAAACACAAGGATGGACAGTTTCTTGCTTTGCTTGTTTATGTAGACGACATAATATTGGTTGGTGATTACTTGTCTGAAATTGAGAATCTTAAGAAAGGATTAGATGCTGCTTTTAAAATAAAAGACCTAGGACATGTTAAATACTTTCTTGGTTTGGAAATTGCGCGTAAGTCTACTGGTATTTCTATTTGCCAAAGAAAGTATGTTCTGGATCTTTTGTCTGACTCTGGATTGTTAGCTGCCAAACCAGTTAGTACACCTTGTAATCCAGGAGTAAGGTTGTCTAGTAAGACTGGTGTTTTACTCGATGATGCTTCTGTTTATCGCCGTTTGGTAGGGCGTTTATTGTACTTATGTAATACGCGTCCTGACATAGCATTTGCTGTACATCAGTTGACTCAATTCATGAGTGCACCCACTGATGTACATTTGCAAGCAGCTTATCGCATTCTTCATTACTTGAAAGGTAACCCAGGTCTTGGTTTGTTTTTTCCTAGTAACTCAGAACTGACTCTCAAGGCTTTTTCAGATAGCGATTGGGCTGGCTGTCCTGATTCCCGTCGTTTCACAACAGGTTTCTGCGTGTTTTTGGGTAAATCTTTAATTGCTTGGCGTTCCAAGAAACATAAAACAATCTCTCGGTCCTCTACTGAGGCTGAGTATAGGGCTATGGCAGACCTGACTTGTGAAGTGCAATGGTTGCATTATGTGTTTGCTGCTTTGGGTGTTACTTTTCCTACCCCTAGTATTCTGTATTCTGATAGTCAATCTGCTATTCGTATTGCTGAAAATCCTGTTGCACATGAGCGCACCAAACACATAGAGTTAGACTGTCATTTAACTCGTGATAAGATAGCTGCTGGTCTCATAAAAGTGCTGCATATTTCGACTGCTAACCAGGTTGCTGATCTGTTTACAAAGTCTTTGCCTACTGCAGTGTTTTCTGTTTTGCAGTCCAAGCTGGGCACTCTTGATATCCATGCTCCAGCTTGAGGGGGGGTGTTGGACTATATTGTAAACTAGAATTAGTTTAAGGACCATATTGTAATGTTTGTTTATATTTATGTATTATTTTGTTATTTCTTTATTTACAGCTGGTATATATTGTATAAACGAACAGTGTAAAATTAACTTTGATGAAATAAAACAAGTAGACCCGTTTCTCCCAACACGTGGAGTACAACCTTCTGGGAAACATCTTCCATGTATCCTCCAAATACGTCCCTCCCGTTCATCCCGTCGGCCGCGGTTCGTATGGCGTCGTCTGGTACTCTACAGTCTACATTCTCTTCACCCCCAACTACTAGTAACTTAACCATCCTCTGTTTTTCCTAATTTGTAATCAATAAAAATTCCCCCCCTATTTTGCAGCTGTGCCAGAAATGCAGAGACGAATGAGGCGGTGGCGATTAAGAAGATCGGAAACGCTTTCGACAACAGTGTTGACGCCAAGAGAACCCTCCGTGAGATCAAGCTTCTCCGCCATATGGATCACGAAAACGTAATCCGATTAATTCCCATCCAAATTAGTACCGATTTCCCTCATGGGTTGGTCAAAAGTAACTAATCTGGCTGTTGTTCTGTTTTGATCTTTTGTGCAGATCATCAAAATTAAAGACATAATCCCGCCGCCGGAGAAGGACAAGTTCGACGACGTTTACATCGTCTACGAGCTGATGGATACCGACCTTCACCACATCATCCGCTCGTCCCAGCTTCTCACCGACGACCATGCCCAGGTTTCTGATTATACGTGTTATGTTTCCAAATTTGACTGATATTGAGGTGAAATTTATGTTGGACTGATGATATCAATGGCGGGGCAGTACTTTCTGTACCAATTGCTTAGGGGTTTGAAGTACATCCACTCAGCAAACGTGCTCCATCGCGACTTGAAGCCAGGGAACCTGTTGCTGGATGCGAATTGCGATCTGAAGATATGTGATTTCGGGCTGGCGAGGACCACGTCTGAGTCCGATTTCATGACGGAGTACGTCGTCACGCGGTGGTACAGGGCGCCGGAGCTCTTGCTCAATTGCTCCGGCTACACCGCCGCGATCGACATTTGGTCCGTCGGTTGCATTTTCTTGGAGATTGTTCAAAGAGAGCCGCTTTTTCCTGGCAAGGACTACGTTCAGCAGTTGGGTCTTATTACCCAGGTAAAAGAAAATTTCCATAAACCTGCTGAAGAAAGAAGAAGATACAATTGATCAAGTGAACTCAAAAAGTAAACAACTTTTGCTCTCTCTGTAAACATGTTTTCTTTTGCAGCTACTGGGTTCACCGGAAGATTCTGATTTGGGATTCTTGAGAAGCGACAACGCAAAAAAGTATGTGAAGCAGTTGCCGCATTTCCCTAAGCAACCCTTTGTGGAGAAGTTCCCAGATGTTTCGCCATTAGCGCTGGATCTCGCGGAGAAAATGCTCGTCTTTGATCCCAGCAAGCGCATAACTGGTACGCCAGGGTACTCTGTTTCTTTACTTACTCTGTTTTCATGAACAAGAAAAATGGCAATAATTAAGTTCCTTTATCATGGAATTTTCAATTCCGCAGTGGAGGAAGCGTTGAATCATCCATATCTGTCGAGTCTCCATGAGATCAACGAGGAACCAACCTGTTCAAGTCCGTTCGTCTTCGATTTCGAGCAGGCTTGTTTGAGTGCGGACGACATAAAGGAGCTTATTTATTTGGAGTCTCTGAATTTCATGTCTACCGAAGAAGACGCTATGGACTTGAGTAATTGACGCCCTGAATTTCATTGTTTCCCGATTGTTCATTTCCGGTTTGTGCTCATTATTGGTGATGACAGCATTGACAGGACTTAATTTTTGCTGGTTATTGTTTCGAAAAAGGAAAACAGAGAGAATGGATATCTCTGAAGAGGAGATGGGATCTTCTCTTTGAGCAGCTTTCCCACTAAGCTAGGGAAAATTTTGATCCTTTTTTGTTTGGTTATAAATTTGCTGATGGCGGGAATTGAATCTGCTGGAAGATTAACCCCTTGTTCTGGAAGGAGAGAAAAGGGAGGGGAGGGATTTAGAGCCCTTCTAGTGTGCTCTATAGCACCCATGCTATAAAAAAGGTGACCTGTTGAGGAGGTAAACTCACTGAATGACTGGTCCCACATCATTAATGGCAATCTTGTAAATAATGAATCAATGTATACAAGTGTAGGTACAAGTTAGAGTTGTACCATATCGTATAGGTACAAGTTTCAGCTGTACCATTGAAGAATTTGTTTCACAAAGTGTAGGTACAACTTAAAGTTGTACCATTAGTACAGGTACAATTTTGAGCTGTACCATGAAGGGATTTATTAGAAAGTGTAGGTACAACTTAAAATTGTACCATGTTATAGGTACAAGTTTGGGTTGTACCATAAAAGAATTTTGAGAAAGTGTAGGTGCAACTTAAGGTTGTACCATTAGTATAGGTACAATTTTTAGTTGTACCATAAGGGATTTGTTAGAAAGTGTAGGTACAACTTAAAGTTGTACCATGGTATAGGTACAATTTTGGGTTGTACCATAGAAGGATTTTTAGAAAGTGTAGGTACAACTTAAAGTTGTACCATGGTATATGTACAAGTTTGGGTTGTACCATAGAAGGATTTTGAAAAAGTGTAGGTACAACTAAAAGTTGTACTATTAGTATAGGTACAATTTTGAGTTGTACCATAAAGAGATTTATTAGAAAGTGTAGGTACAATTTGAAGTTGTACCATTAGTATAGGTACAATTTTGAGTTGTACCATAAAAGGATTTATTAGAAAGTGTAGGTACAACTTAAAATTGTACCATGTTATAGGTACAAGTTTGGGTTGTACCATAGAATGATTTTGAAAAAGTGTAGGTACAACTTAAGGTTGTACCATTAGTATAGGTACAATTTTTAGTTGTACCATAAAGGGATTTGTTAGAAAGTGTAGGTACCACATAAAGTTGTACCATGGTATAGGTACAAGTTTGGGTTGTACCATAGAAGGATTTTGAAAAAGTGTAGGTACAACTTAAAGTTGTACCATTAGTATAGGTACAATTTTTAGTTGTACCATAAAGAGATTTATTAGAAAGTGTAGGTACAACTTAAAGTTGTACCATTAGTATAGGTACAATTTTGAGTTGTACCATAGAGGGATTTGTTAGAAAGTGTAGGTACAACTTAAAGTTGTACCATAGTATAGGTACAAGTTTGGGTTGTACCATAGAAGGATTTTGAAAAAGTGTAGGTACAACTAAAAGTTGTACCATTAGTATAGGTAAAATTTTTAGTTGTACCATAAAGAGATTTGTTAGAAAGTGTAGGTACAACTTAAAGTTGTACCATGGTATAGGTACAAGTTTGGGTTGTACCATAAAAGAATTTTGAGAAAGTGTAGGTACAACTTAAGGTTGTACCATTAGTATAGGTACAATTTTTAGTTGTACCATAAAGAGATTTGTTAGAAAGTGTAGGTACAACTTAAAGTTGTACCATGGTATAGGTACAAGTTTGGGTTGTACCATAGAAGGATTTTGAGAAAGTGTAGGTACAACTAAAAGTTGTACCATTAGTATAGGTACAATTTTGAGTTGTACCATAGAGGGATTTGTTAGAAAGTGTAGGTACAACATTAAGTTGTACCATAGTGTATAGGTACAATTTTGAATTGTACCATACCATAGAAGATTTTTAGGAAAGTGTAGGTACAACTTTAAGTTTAGTGTAAAGGTACAACTCTAGAAAGTGTAGGTACATCTTAATTCCACGGCTGTTATTTTGACAAAATGAGCTGTGCGAATGTTTGAGTGGCAGTTGTGTGTTTCAATTGAATGTGAGATTTTGACGGGCGTGACAATGTCAAGTAGTAGCCGTGAAATTTCCTGGGATAGTGAGAACTGCTCTTTGCATGTCACGGGACATCTCACGGTCGTTATATTTGCCTGAGGAATGAAACACTGCTTTTTACATCTCACTTGAGTATTTTACGGTCGTGAGATTACCAGTATAAGGTGTCAGATTTCCAGTAGGAGACTTTCACCTGTGGAACATCTCACGGCTTATTCTCACGCCCGTGAGAATTAATAGATGAGCCGTGAGAAGTACAGCATTCAAATCCAAAACACGGCTCATCTCACGGCCGTGATACTGTCGAAGGCAACCCGTGAAAACCTCTGGGAAACTGAGAAGTGCGTTTTTACATCCACGGTCTCTCTCACGGCCTATCTCACGGCCATGATATTTCCAGAATTACAAATCCAAAAACACGCCTTCTTTCACGGCCGTGGGATTTCCAGAATTGGCCGTGCAAATCCAAAACACGGCTCATCTCACGGCCGTGATACTGTCGAAGGCAACCCGTGAAAACCTCTGGGAAACTGAGAAGTGCGTTTTTACATCCACGGTCTCTCTCACGGCCTATCTCACGGCCGTGATATTTTCAGAATTACAAATCCAAAAACACGCCTTCTTTCACGGCCGTGGGATTTCCAGATTGGCCGTGAGATTTCCAGAAATAGTCTGCACAGACATTCACCTGTTTGTGAAAACTACAAACTTATGAAAAAGATGATTCATAATGTTCTCTAAACCTTGACACGAGCATTACATAGATCCATTCACAATGTTCTCTAGTAACTGTACATCATATCAGATGAGATACCCTGTTAACAAAAAGTAAAACGCAGTCAAAGCATTACATTTGTCTAATAAAACAAGCATCCATAACACGATTAAATCTGTCTAATTAATGCTTAAGTTTAGCTGCATGTAGCCCACACTAGTGCATCATAATATTCTAATTGGAAAACATACAAGCACAAACGCAAACACACATAGCTAAGTACTAAGGACTTTGGTTGGCTCATCTTCACTGCCCATCTTTCTCGTTAGTGTTCTTGTCCTCGTCTTTGTTTTCCTGGATTTGCTCATCTTCATTGTCCTCGCTAGAGTCACTGCCCTCTTCCTCATTGGTGTCATTGTCCTCTTCACTGCTTTCCTTGTTTTGTTCATCGTCATTGCCCTCGTCGTCCTCTTCACTGCTGTCTTCCTCATTGGTCCCTTTGTCCTCTTGATTTTTTTCCTTGTTTTGGTCATCGTCGTTGCCCTCGTCGTCCTCTTCACTGCTGTCTTTCTCATTGGTCCCTTTGTCCTCTTGATTTTTTCCTTGTTTTGGTCATCGTCGTTGCCCTCGTCGTCCTCTTCACTGCTGTCTTCCTCATTGGTCCCTTTGTCCTCTTGATTTTTTTCCTTGTTTTGGTCATCGCCATTGCCCTCGTCGTCCTCTTCACTGCTGTCTTCCTCATTGGTCCCTTTGTCCTCTTGTTTTTTTCCCTTGTTTTGGTCATCGCCATTGCCCTCGTCGTACTCTTCACTGCCCTCTTCCTCATTGGTGTCATTGTCCTCTTCACTGCTTTCCTTGTTTTGTTCCTTTCCTTTGTCCTCTTGATTTTTTTCCTTGTTTTGTTCCTTTCCTTTGTCCTCTTGATTTTTTCCCTTGTTTTGGTCATCGCCATTGCCCTCGTAGTCCTCTTCACTGTTGTCTTCCTCATTGGTGTCATTGTCCTCTTCACTGCTTTCCTTGTTTTGTTCCTCTCCTTTGTCCTCTTGATTTTTTTCCTTGTTTTGCTCATCGTCATTACCCTCGTCATCCTCTTCACTTCCCTCTTCATTGCTTTCCTCGGTTGGCCTAGGAGATAGTTCCCAAGGTCTTGAGAATTTGTTGTAGTCAATCCTCAAGGACCTCATGATCTGATGGTTGCATTCGATGATGTAGCGTCGAGCTTCCTTCTCTCGATCAAGGCGGGAGAGAATGAGTGCATTTTGCTCCAGAATTTGGGCATTCTGCCGACCCAATGCCTCAAAATGGGATATGTAGCTGTCGGTGGATGGTCCGGCTTGAGTCGTAGTTCGGTGATGTTGTGCAGGTTGTTCCGGAGTCTCCTCGACCATTTGCTGAACAACATGCTCCGATGCGTTTGCCTCATCTATTGCAAGAGGTGGAGCAGGATGAGGGAGGCCAACAATGCCTACCACACCATTCTCCTTAACCACCAAACACAGACGTGATCAATATCAGAAGCATTAGTTACATTTGCTCAATGTTCAAAAGGAACTAGATTAGGAGGCAATCCAAAACTTGCACAAAATCAATCCTAGATTGTTTGAATCCCGACTAGTTCTGTTTTAGCATTCACTGTGAAAAGGAAAGTGTTGGTTGGAACATTTACCTTTGACAACAAATTTAGATCCGCAAGGTTTTTTTTGGGAGATTGGTTGAGTGGACTGGGTAATGGTGCAATGAGAACCCACCGGATCAATGCCAAAATGCCGAGCTAGCCTTGTGATGTAGGCACCTCCATGGATGGTCTTGATTTGTTTGTTGGAGGTCATCTTCTGTAGGGTTTTCAATATGACTAAACCAAGATGAATTGGGGGATCTTTTACCATAGAGAGGAAAAAGTTCAAATCCTGCTTGGTCACACTCCCCGGGCTCCCCTCCCTAGCTACCACAGAATGAGCGATAATGTTGTGGATGATACGCCACGGGGGAAGAAGATCATTCCCTTTATAGCGGGCAGGGTCAGACTTTGCCACATGGTTTTGTTTTACCCTTGTCCACATAGCATCTACCGATGGTGCTCTTGGATGATATATTTTCTCTGAAATAAAACCATGTCCATCTGTGGTGAGAAATCCTGGTGGGTATACTGGAGTGCCTCTGTGAACTCCGTGATGCTCATCTGTCTCGCCTGTCCTCCAAGGCGAAAAGTTATGTTGTCTTCGGGCTTGTCGAGGTTAAACTCGGACATTCTCTTGATGGAGAGAGTGCTGAGGAACTCAATGGTAAGCTCTCGGTAGATGACCTCATTGATGGAGAGAACCTCACACCATGCCGGGAGACGGAGGCATGTGCAAACGGGGTCCGCTGCTCCGAGGCGCTCTAGGAGATCCCAATCAAAGCATCTTTGCTGCCCAAATGGGAGGGGAAGGAAGCGCTCCAAAGCCCTCCTATGTTCGACGGGTAATTGGAGGAAGCCGTGAAGTCTCCCTCCTCCAAGTTGAGCCTCCGCTTGTGGTGGTGGTGGAGATGGTTGGCGTGCCCGT